AAAAATAAATAAATAAAAGAGTAAGGTATTTCTACATGTGCTGACATGAAGTTCATGGAGGTATCAAGGTAAGTTGAAAAAAATAGGTTATAGATTGGAGTTCATGGTTTTTGAAAATCATTAGAGGTTTTAGCCAGATATTCTATAATAGTTCTTCCTTTCTGGGTACATGGGGGAATTACATTTCTTGGTTCCTTTGTTTGAGTAGGACAATGAATGGTGATTAGACGTTTCCGGACAGAGTATTTCATTGCTATTGTGTAACATCTAAAATTCTTTTTTCCTCTGCCACAGTGGAATGTTTTTAGACAGTGGCTGTACCATCAGCCTGAGGCCTGGAATGTGGCTAACCCATGAAGGACAGGCAGCATTAGCAAGAAATAAATCTTTACTGTTTTAAGACCCAGCGATCTGGGGGTTATTTGTCACCGCAGCATAGCCCAGTCTATCCTGACTGATACATGGCATCATTTTGTGTGTGTGTGTGTGTGTGTGTGTGTGTGTGTGTGTGTGTGTATGCACACACACAAAAATCCAGTAGGCTCCAGCCTAATCTATTAAGGTAGTATGGGGAGTGGACTGGGAGTACCTTTCACTTTTTACTGTGTATACTTCTATATTAGTTGATTTTATGTCCTTTAAAATGGAGTCTATATTACCTTTATAATGAGAAAACCATAGTCAATGCTTTCAGTGGACAGCAAGTGTAGCATCGGCCTGGCACGGACACTTACCTCATTGGGGAGACCTCATCGATGCGGTTGCCCAGCTGAGACTCGTGGGACTTGCTCCGGGTGAGTGTGGGGAAGTTGGGCAGCAGCTGAAAGACCTTGCGGCTGGGTGGGGGCGGCGTCCGTGGCGGCTTCAGCTTGGTGTGCCGTCGCAGCTGGGGCGTGGTTGGGGGGGTGATGAAGCTGTGCAGGGCACGGGGGGTCAGCCGGCCACTGGCATGCAGGGGCATGTAGGTGTCTGTGAGGCCCTCGTTGGGGCCCGGGGTTGAGGAGTCCGAGGTGGGCAGGGCTGATACGGAGATGGAGCGTGGGCCCTGGGCACTGCTGCCCATTCTGCCCAGCTGGGCGCTCCCCGTGGGCCAGGGCAGGCTGGCTGGTGAGAGGCTATCTGTGGAAAGCCCTGAGCCGCTTTCCCGCCGGGCATCCAACGAGCTCCAGCCTGAGTCGTCTTTGTGCTCCCCTCCTGTGGGCCGAGAAGTTGAATCACAGAAGGCTGGGCCTAGAAGAATTTACAGCCGAGGCAGCCAGGGCCCAGAGAGGTTAAACACTTGTCCAAAGTTGCACAGCTCCTTAGTGGAAGGCTTCAACTACCAGACTTTACCTGGTTTATAAAAGGCCTCTCATGCATACACATTATCTTCCGCCTTATCTAACCGACCACGGGGTCACCTGTGTGGATATTACTGTCCCTGTTTCACAGAGAGAAAAACGAGGTCCAGAGAGGGGGTGGCTTATGCAGGGATCTTGCTGGAAGTTCTGTGGGGAGCCAGCTGGCAAAGCCTCCCCAAAAGTGGGTAACCTCAGAGAGGGGAAGTGGTAACTGATCTTTAAGAGTTAGGAAAGAGAAGCTGGAGCATGTAAACAGATAACTCCATTTTGAAAAAACTCAAATGTCAGGAAAAAGGGCTGCACCAACCTTCCAACAGGAAATTGCCTTTGGAGTTGGCTAGACAAGAGATCCAGCTACAAAGGGGTCAGCAGCCATTTCCTTCTGAGAGGAGCCTGTGAGTGACTCTGGCTACCCCGGCGGTGACCCTCTGCCTGAGGCCCCTAAGACCTTGAGGCTCTGCGGGGTTCCAATTCAATGGCACAGTCTGTCCATTCATTCAAGCCTATGCTGGATGCTGGGTATCAAGGCACGAAAAAGACACATCCACTGAGCCCGACGAGTCCAGTGAGGGTGACAGACACTCAACACAGCAAACTGTGTGCTGACACAAAAATGCATGGGGACTGAGGGAGCCCTGAGTAGGAGGACCTTGCATAGCCTGGGAGGTCAGGGCGCTTCCCAGAGGAGGTGGTACCTGGGCTAAGCCAGCTAGGGAAGAGGTGGAGCAGGTACACCAGGTAGAAGGAACAGCATGTGGAAAGGTAGGGGACACGTGGCACCTTTCCGTAATTACAAAGAGTTCCATGTGCCTTGAGAGGTCAGGACAAGCCAGGAAGGCACGAGAGATGAACTTAGAGGGTCAGCCCACCTGGGGCCAGCTCAGAAGGGGCTTTGGATACCTATTTTGCTAAGAACTTTAGGTGTGACCTTATAGGAGATGGGGAGATGCTGAAGGGGTGGGGGCAGGGAGAAAGGACCTCATTCAGAGACCCTGTTGTGGGGAAGAAGACACCGCCCTCTTCATATTTATCAATGAGTGGGAAGTGTAGGAAGGTAGACTGCGACTCAAGGCAAAACGATCTTCTGCCCTGAAACTGTTCCACTGTGTGCTTTGTATACCGTCTCCTTCCATCCTCCCAGCCCGTGAGGTCACTCAGATTCAGGGAGGCCACGTGCACTGCCGAGGTCATACAGCTCAGCAAGTGGTGGGATGGGAACTGAGCCTGTGGTCCCAACCACAGCCCTGGCCTCCTCCCACAAGGCTATCACCTCTGAATGGCTCAGCTTTGGGCGGCAAGAAGCTCTGTCATCAGAGGTAGTCAAGCCAGGCCCACATGGCCATTTATCAGGGATGGTGCAGAGAGATCAGCCTTCACAATGGATAGGGTTTCTTTGTACGTTCCATCCCCTCCTCTAATGCCCTTCCTCCTACTTCACTGCATGGTGACTTTCTAGTCATGAATCAGCTTGGCGGAATGAATTAGTCTGTGTGTTCCTTGTGCTTGCTTGCTCCTTTGGAACCGCAGCCATGGCTTACACTTTAACTTGTATATTGGCTGAGAGGAGGTACTGACACGTTTCTTGTTCAGGGGATGAGACAATGAGTTCCACGAATCCATGGGCAAGTCTGCCACCTAAGGAAACAAGTCCCAAATTCTTCAAATCACCTATTTAATGACCACGGCTTTGAGCCAGCTCAGGGATGACAAGTGGGTCTTGATGTGCATACCAACAGCAGTCAATAGAGAATGACTCCGGAGTCACTCAGTAGGAAGAGCTCAGGGATTGATTAGTGATGTCTGCTATGGATGAAGGACAGGAAGTATCAGCAGGCATGATATTCCCCTGTTCACCAGCCACTGGCGCAGAGAACCATCCTTCACTCACCTTTCTTAAGACCAGAGACCACAAGGGAAATGACTTCAATATTTTCCATCACTCGACAGCTTAATATTGAAAAGAACACCTAAAATGTACTGGGCTCCATTCTAAGCACTTGACCTTAACTAATTTCATCCTCATAACAACCCTCTGTGAGGTGTGGTTATTATTTCCATTTTACAGATGAGGAAACTGAGGCATGGTGGTGTTAAATAACTGATCCAGGTCCCACGGGCTCTACGTGGCTGAGTAGAATGCTGGGCCCAGGTAATCTGATTCCATGGTCCATTTTTACCGTAACTAGGCTGCTCTAAACAAGCCCTGTTGGGTGCAGTGAAGATGCCTCCATGCTCCGAGAGACAGTGCAATCACTGGTACCCACACAATTCCAGCTGGTGCCTTTTAAGTGTGGCACCACTTAAGTGTGGCAGGCCCATCTGGGTGAGGTGTGGCAACAAGGACCCTCTTGGGGATTAGGAGGAACCACAAGCTGAGGTCGAATGAGAGAGAAGGACCTGGAAAAGACCCTTTCCCCAAGGGCCTCCTCTGGGCACAGTGGAAAAAGCACTCCCTGGGGAAGAAACCCAAGTTCCAAGCCCAGCTCTGCCACGTGCCAGGTGTGGGACTCCAGACAACTCGCCCAATGCCTCCGATACTCTAGCTTCAAAAGGAGCTTACCACCACCTCTTAAAAGGGTGTCATCGCGTGTGTCAAGTACCTGGCGTAATAAATTAATGCTTAATAAGTTAGTGATCTCCCTATCTCAGCATCCAGCGGCCTTCCTAACATATATGGGTCACCACCACTCAAGCGCTGGCTCCTCCACAAATTTTTAGGCAATACAGATGGAGAGTTGGCAAGTTACCCCAAAATCTCAGCTTGGGAGGCAAGTTTGTACTTTTAAACTTCCACAATGTGGGAACAACCCAATCACCATCAAAGATGGAGGCTCTAATCTCATCTATGCTACCCACTGCTGTGTGTCCTTGGCTAAGTCACTTCCCCTCACTGGGCTGTCTCCTCCTCTGTAAAGTATGGGGAAGAGACTTCTGACCACATCTCTGTCGTGTTTATTTCCTGGCACCTGCCAGGTGGCCTGGTGTGTTGAGGTTTTCTGAACCGAGTGAAGCTCTCCTCACAGGCTCTGTGTTCAGGGGAGGACTTGGTACAATAGAACCAGAGAAGAAATTAAGCCCAATCCTCTCTGGGGAAGAAAAAAAAAAAAAAGTCAAGCAGAATGTAAACCTCAGTGCCTTCCATAAGCCCCAGGCAGTGGGAGATAAGACAGGTGGCTCAGATAATTTAAAACCGGGGCTAATTCCACTCCTCAGGCTCATTTCAAAGCTTTATCTGTGTGGTTGTTAGTGGGAGTGTTAAATCAAGGCATTTGAAGCCGTCTCCAAGGCAAGATTTAGAAAGCCTGCAAATAATTCCCTAGGAACACCTCATAGCGCCAGGATCACACCCTTTGCCTGGGGCGGCCATAGGCACAGGGCTGAAATACCCTACAGTTTCTCGAATCCTGCTTGGCTCAGGCTGAGCCCAAATCAGTGTGTGCCTTCTGAGCACACAGCCCAGCCAGCTGATAGGGGCAGGAGAAGGTGGGGAGAGGGCTGAGGGTGAGCAAGGGTGGGAAGGGGGGTGGAATGCAGGAAGCTGCTGGAGGGTTCACAGAGGCCAACGAATATGCTCCAAAGAGGGGAAATTTATACAGGGCCCGCCCAGCAGGCCGGCCTGGGGTTTCTAACAATGGCTAAAGCTCCCTGTGTTCGTACTGGCCAGGTCAGTCCAAATCTGAGCCCTCTGACTCAGGCAAGGCCCATCACACACTTTCTGAATGTCTACCCTGGCCTTTCCAAGCTGCCCCAGGAACCCTGGGCCACACTTGTCACACCCCATCATCCACCTCAGCAAAGGCTGTGCCCTCCAGAGCCAGACCAGGCCGGTGAGGAGGCCGGGACTAGGCGAGAAGGCTGGTGTCAAGGCTGAGGCAGAGGGAGAAGGGGCCGGGGAGGCGGGCCCTACCTACCCAGGCCTGTCACCTTCCGCAGGCAGGTGAGGGCGTACTGCAGGCGGCCACACTCCTCCACACTGGCCCCGCAGCGCCGCAGTGTCTCCTTCACCTTGGCCTCGTTCATGTCCAGCAGGGCATCCAGTGTGAGCTCGCGGAGGATCTCCTGAGGAAGCACAGAGGGGACAGGCAGAGAGCCGTGAGCACCCAGGAGGCCCCAGGGCCCTCTTCCTTCTCCCCCTGGCCAGGGCGGGCCTCCAGGTTGAGTGACAGGGGCCAGCTGCTGGTGGGCCGGCCTCTGACCTGAAGCCTCCACATGTCTGAGGCCTCAGAAGGCCAGCTCTCGCCCCCACCCCCAGCGCTCCCAGAGACAGCAGCTGAAGTAGAGATGCCTAAGCTTCAGGGTGGGGGTTGAGGGGAAGGCAGAAAAAAAATCAGAAAAGTTTTGATCAGGGCATGTTGCTCTTCTCGTTTCTTTTTATTCCTCTGCCCTGGAAAATGATGAATCATGACAACTTTTTAGAATGGCAAGTCCCTGAGATAAAGATGACCCTTTACAGTTGTGCAGCACTGGCTCTGAATCATTCAAGATAGATTTCACATAAAACTGGTTTAGTGAGAGAAGGATTAAACAGAATTAACCCTCACTAAGCATTATACGGGCACTCACCACCTTACCTTATTTAATTCTCAGTCAAAGCCTTTTAAGGAGTTCAAGGTAACAGAGAAATGAGAGACTGGCAGCATGAAAATGATTCCATGCAGACTTGAAGGGGGGGGGGGCACCTGAGAAAGAATGTGGATGGCCCCCTGCAGATCAGCAAGGAAAAGGGAACCTCAGCCCTAGACCACCAGGAGCTAGATTCTGCCAATAACCTGAATGCACTTGAACATGGCTTCTTCCCAAAGCTTCCAGGTAAGAGGCCAGCCTGTCTGACGCCTCAGCTTTAGCCTGGTGAGATCGATCCTAAGGAGGGAAGCTAACTGAGCCTGCCTGGACTCTTCCATCCAGTCTTCCTCCTGCAGAATTGTAAGCTAGTAAATGGGGGATGTCGTAAGCCGCTACATTTCTGGTGACTGGTTACACAGCAACAGAAAACTAATACAAAGAGTGAATATTTGAATCAAGGCCTACCTCACTTCAAAGCGTGTGGTCTTTGCTCTCATCATGGAGGAAAGAAACACCTCTAGCTCGACTGGTTGGAGCCACATGTGATACCAAGCCTGGAGCTGACACACAGCACAGTGGAGCATGTCCCTGGCCTCAAGTGGCTTGCGGGGGTGACTGACATGAAAACAAGTCATTGCTCTGCAAAATGAGATATGGCCTAGCATAGAGAAAGCTCAGAGAGCGACGGGACCAGTGGTAAGACCTGTTTTTTTCCTTCTTTGGCCCCTCCCTGTCTATATTTTTCAGATTTTCTATAACAGGGAAGACCAGACATCCCACATCAGATGGTTCATATAAAGCTCAAAGTTCTTGAGACTTTAAGTTGAGTTTCATCGATTTTAGAAAGCTGTGTCTAATTTTATTTTAAAAGAGTAACGTTACTGTCAGTCAATCCACGTTGCCATAAATCGTAGACTCAGGTGTCAAAACTGAACCTGGTGAAGATACTGGCTGTGAGTCAGTGGGGCAATGGTTTGGGGGCTTTGTAATGCCTGGGGGTGGGGGCCTGGCATGGCCTCAGCTGTGGCCTCTGGAGTCTGGCCATGTTCCTCCCATCATGCCACCCTTTGTATCTTGTCTGTAATAGTCTTCAGTCTCCAGGGTTGTGGACAAGAATCCTGTAGCTCTTTAGAATAATTCACAACCAGAATTAGAAATAAGCACACCAGTAAAAGCACCAAGAAGCAGCTCATCACCATTGGTTGGACAAAAATCCTTCCAGGAGATAAATCTAGAGCATCACAGGAAACCAGTGATAAGACAGCACAGAGAGGGGGCTGATTAGATAATGGTCCCAGGACAGAAGCTTTTGTTCATCAGTGTGTCTTCCTTTATTGTCCTGAGCAACACTCTTCATCAAAATGCAATTTTGACATCTTTCCTCTTCATTTTACTATGAAAAGCAAGTTGGCAATGCTGTCAGGGCAAGAACAAATGGAAGTGACGTTGACCTTTACCCAACTTCACAAAACAACCCTCCACCTATCCCTGGAGTGGCCTCAGCTCTTACCCACACTCCTCCATTTCCCAAAACTGTGATGACTCAGCGGGTTTCCAACAACCCTAGAAACCCAATCCCCAATCGAACTACACAATGCGATAGGGATTGCTTTTCTTTCTTTATATTTCTATCCTCCCCACCCACACCAATTTCAGTTTCTCAAACATCATAACTCCATTTATTATGACAAACTCTTTGCCAGTACAATGTGTTCAGTGCTTTGTGTACTATCTCCACTCAAAACAACTCAGCAAGGAGGGGCTGGTAAGCCCATTTTACAGAGGGTCAGAGACCTTCTGCAAGGCGATTTGGCAGAGCTCAAGCTGAAACACAGGTGTGTGGGATCCCAAAGCACCTTCGATTATTCCTGCTGTCTGTCACTCAGTAGCCTGGCAATGCCTGAGGATGCAGCAGCTCCCTTTTGGGGCAAATGATTTGTTTCAAAGTAAGTTAAAGAAATTAATTTCTGAAAACAACAAAACCCAAAAATACTATTCTGTAAAAATTCTTTGGCAAGTAAAGTAAACCACTAAAAAAGAGAAAGGCAGAATATGTTGAAATCCATTTCCTTAAAAAAAAAAATGAATGAAAAATAAAAAAGGCATTCCCTTACAGCTGCAGATGAGCTGCAAAATTTCTCCAACTACTCTGGGGCTTCAAAGATCACTGCAGGGGCTGCCTTCCCTTCACTCCTTTGTCCCCTCTCTTTATGCTGATTCAAACCAAAGGTAGACAACACACAAATCAAAATTGGGGCGGGACAGAAGAGCCTATCCAGGGTCCCACTAAAATGGAGCTGCCCTGGCCTCTCCAAGGAAAAGCATGGCTTCCTGGGGTGTGAACTCTTTCTTGTCCATCAATGCAATGAAAGTGCTTAGCACACCATCATCACCATGATTTCTGACTGTTTCTTCTGTTCCCTAATCCCTCTTCCCTGCAGGGCTGGGTCACTGAACTTGGGCGAGGGACCACTCCGTTCGTTCTGTCTGAATGCTGCAGTCAGTGAAGCTTTCCATCAGTCAGCTGGTTTACCTGGTAGAGTGAGGGTCTCCAACACAGCCTCGGGGCTAGGCCTTGGGGAGAAATAAGATCAGTGGGGCGAGGCCCCCTAGATCTATCTTTTGATGGAGATAGAAGTACTAGAAATACTTCTCTTGTCTCCACTAAATAACAAGAAACCTGACAGCAGCAAGGGTGATGCTAATCGGAAACTCACCCCTTGCCCTCACTCACGGTTGGGGTATGAGGAGGAGGCTATGGGAGAGGTGCCAGATCTTCTGGTGTTAAAGGAATCTGAATTTTTATTTTAAAATGGCTGATTTTTACATGGTGGCAACTAATGCAAATCTGTGCAGATCAAACAATCGTATCCATGGTCACACAGAGTCCCCAGGCCCTCTCATGGAGACCCCGTGGGAAGAATCTGACACATTCCAAGGATCTGTCTGATCAGCGACTTCTAAAGCTTTATTTCTGTAGGCAAATGGGGAGAATGGCGGCCCAGCAGCAAGTGCCCTGGGCAGCATATCACGGGGTGGCCAGGCCTTCTCAGTGAGGTGCCCAGCCTGGCTCTGGGGCCCCACCATGGAAACAAAGTGCCCACCCCTCCCACTCCTACGAGTGACTTTGGACCTGAAGTTAATTCAATCAAGAGGGAGAGTGCACGAGGCAAGCATGCTGGAACCAGGGGAACCAGTATATGTAGAAAGCACGAGCCCCCAGGTCTCGCCTGGGCCTGCAGCTAGACAACAGGCAAGCTGAGCTAGTGGCTGTACAGGCCCCCGGAGTGACCCTGCTATCACCTCTTATCACAACTCAAGCAATGCCCCTTGAGCAGCCTGGCACCCCCAAACCTCACACACACATATGTGACTCGCCCACCCACGGTGATAGGCACTGCCAAGTCTTAGTTAGGAAGTTATTTTGGACCAGAGTAGTTCACGTACAAAATTTCTGGATAATCTCAACTGAAAGCAAATTAGGGAATCAGCTTCACCACCTGCTGAAGGTGAAGTCACAAGCCTGCTGACCACCTGGCAAGTGGAACCGCTCTGAAAGCCTCTCAGGTCTGAGAGGCCCCAAGGCCCCAGGAGGGCCTCCCACCTGCCCGCAGGCTCATGGAAGATGACAAGGTGTCTCGAAGCCAAGGGCATCCCCTGGAACTCTGAGGAAGAGATAAAGGCAGCGAGTCCATACACTTTGAGGGGAACCATTGCCTACCCACTTCAGCTTCTGTCTAAAGAAGAAAATATGGGGACAGCCGGTTAGCTCAGGTGGTTAGAGCGCAGGCTCATAACACCAAGGTTGCTGGTTTAATCCCCACATGGGCCACTGAGATGCACCCTCCACAACCAGATTAAAACCACTACTTGACTTAGAGCTGATGGGTCCTGGAAAAACACAGTTTACCAATAAAACGTTTTTTGTTTTTTTAAAAGATAATATGGACTTGAAACCAAGAAGGGAGGACATGGCCGTTCGGCCCATTGTGGGGGTTGCCTGGGTCCTACGAGCCTCGGGTGAACACGGGAGCACAGAAGTAGAGCTGCGAGGACATGGGACAGGAAAAGAGTTCCAGAGAACACTGGCTCCCGCCTCTGTCTGTCCCCTCAAGACACGATGTGTGTTGTCCAGTGGGTGACATTAAGTTATTCTTTCTGATAATAATTGGAGAGCAGGGTCGATTGGGCGCTGAGGTCACTCCCAGTCTGTGATAATTAAATTGCTGTTCTGTTCTCTAGAGAAGAAGGCGGAGGTGGGCTGGACCAAACACAGCTGGCCCCGCCCCTCAGCAGCTGGTGGTGTCACAGGCCAGGCTGGGTATCAAATGATATTCTGGGACTTACCAGCAGCCACGGGGCTGCCTGGGATCTATACTTAGAAACCTATGCCGGCTTACACCAAAAGCAATCCACACTCGTCATGGTCAGTCAGGTGGACAGTGGCAATGCCAGGGGCTTCAATGCCTGTGTGTGGACCACATATGAGAACCCCT